AGTTCGCTCCCCTGCCCCAGAGGTGACCACATGGCGCGGCAGACCTCTGCTGTCTCCCCGCTGCTCCCCTCAGCAGTGTCCTTTGTCAATCTGCCTGTTCTGCTCCCCGCTCTGTCTCTGGTGAATCCTCTCACTGCCCCTGCACTGCTGGCCTGTACCCTGGTTCTGTATGCAGAAATAAATACATCTCAAAGAGAGAGAGAGAGAGAGAGAGAGAGAGAGAGAGAGAGAGAGAGAGAGAGATGTCTTCAGTCCTCAGGGAGGATACTTTCTTTGAAATCAACTTGGTATTATTCTGAAGGGGGGAAGCAATGAACCACAGGACAGTCAAGGATGCTGGGGAGGGACCAGCCAGACAGGGCGGAGGGGGAGCCACAGAAGTCAGGAGCAGGAACGAATGCCACCATTGTCGGGGGTTTGTTTAGAGGAAAGGCGGGGGGCTCCCCTCGCATCTGGCTGCATAGCCCGTCCTGCCAGGACAGGGTTCAGGCACCTGTCATGCACAAGGGCCTGGAGTCGGGCTCAGCCTTGGCCAGTGGGGACACCTTCAACAGCTTATCTGACCTCTCTGCGGGTCTGATCCAAACTCCTAGAGTGGATTGTTCAGCCCCCACCTGAGAGATGTGGTGACGATTAGTGAGGTAAACAATGTAAGCCCGTCCTGTCAGTGGGGTTTTATGTTCACATTGATGTCAGAGGAGCCCAGAAGGAGATAAATGCTATTTCCTGGGTCCTTCGCTAAAGGGAGAAAGTCAAACAGGATGGACAAATTCTGATTCTGAAAGCAAGCAAACTCCTGGAAGCCTCCTCTCTTCCCTCTTCCGATCCTGACAGCAGTAACTGAAGCAGGCAGAAGGCTGCAAAGAGGGAGCAAAAGAAAGTTGGAGCCAGAGTCAAGGGCTCTGTCCTGCCTGGGGAATTCAGACTTACATAGCTGCACGTGTAGTGCCGTGCCTAGGAAAGTTCTGAAAGGTAAAAATACCAGGGAAAAGGAAATCGGAGCCTACCCACGTTAGCGTATAGCGTCCGCCTTAGGGAGGAGCCATGCCACGCGGCCACCAAAGTGCCTCCAGAGCGAACTGCAACTTCCGAGGCGCTGAATCCAAGCCCCAGAGAAAAGCAAGGGCGGTTACGTTATTTTCCTTCTTCTGGAGGCTCAAACAGCAGTTCCCCGACCAGCAAAACTCTGACTGACACTTGACTGCGTGAACGCCCTGTGTAGGGCGTTGAGTGCCGTCAACACCGTCCTCTCCCTCACTGCAGTCCTCGCTGTCCAGCTGCCTCCTAGAGGTCCTTCTTCCCTACTTGGCTCCCCCTCAGCAGGTACCACCTGGTTTGTTTCTCTGCTCCTTCACTGGCTCACGGCCAGTCACCCACCCTGCACTGCAATCCCACAAGGGAGATCTGTTCCCATTTGAGTCCTCTGCTCCTAGAACAAGAGCCTCGTAAGCGCTCAGTGTCTGTTGCTGGGTGTGTAGATGCTGGTCTGACTGAACTGGCCTTGCCTGGAATTTTCCATGGCATGCTCTGCCCTTTCGGCCTCAAGGATGCCCACGTGGGAAAGGTGGCTTCAAGCACTGGAGGAGAATTGAGCTTCTGCACTGGGGGTCATTTTCACTTCACTTGAAAAATACTTCTCCATAGAAATACGCAATTATTTGGAAAGGCAGTCTCTTTCTGTAATTTAGCTAAGCTGTGTGAGTCATTTTGTCTATGCTGCTAACTAATGGGGCCTAGATTAGAGGTATCATGTTCGGGGGTTAAGCTTTTCAAGGCTGATATAACAGTGTGTCGCTCTTAGTGATTAGCGCAGTTTTTCACAACAAATATGAGAACAAACCTACTTTCCTAATTAATATTCATGGTGTCCGACAGGGTGATAGTCTTGAAACTATGAAGCAGCCCTTAAATAGTATAGGAACTCTTTATTATTGGAAATAAAGATAACTTTATATGTGACATGATATAGAATGTCAGGATTTAACTAAAATTTTATAGTCACGGGTATGTATATGTTTGTTAATCTTCTTTGTCCATCAATCCCAGTTTAAGAATCATTTCAGTGTTTTGCTGGGTCAAAAACGATTTCTTTTTTTTTCGAAGATTTATTTATTTGTGCATACAGAATTGGGGTATAGGCCAGAGGTGCGGGGGCGGTGAGAGGATTCACCAGAGACTGAGTGGGGAGCAGAACAGGCTCCCCACAGATTAAGTCCACTGCTGAGGGGAGCAGCGGGCAGGTCAGGAGAGGTCTGCTGTGCCATGTGGGTCACTCTCTGGGTGGGGATTGAACTCGTGCTGAAGAAGCTGCAGCTAGCTTCATTGTGCTGTGCTTTAACCCATTGTGCCACCAAGGAGGGCCAAAACTATTTCAGCAGTTTCTTGAACTTTCTTGAGGTCCTTGTTGACCACAAGCAAACACAATGCCTTCTGTTTGAGCTTTACATTCAAACGAAGCTGGAACTCAAAGATACTTTATTTGGAGCTTTTAATCATTTATTTTCATGAGCAGCATATTTTCCATGGAACTCACTAGAAAGAATTATATGTAAAATGTATTTCCCAAATAAGCAAAGAAATTTATCTGCCATGTGGAGAGTCTGGATAGAAACCAAGTAGACTTTAGAGGACAGCTGCCAAAAATAATGACGTGCCGTGATTGATTGTGGTGCTAAGGCCCCTCTTGGAACCGTGTGCTGTGTTGCCATTTCCAAGGGCTCACAAATCAGACTCGGTTAGATTTAAAAAGTAGGTTTATTAGAAAGAGATGGGAGAGGAAAAGACACTTGCATAGGCACAAGCGGGCAGGAAGAGCTGACAGGTTTGTAGAGAGAGAGGCCTGCTTGGTTGCAGGCAGACGGCCTTAGGAGAGCGGCCTCCCCTGAGGAGGTCAGTGCAGAGGAGTCCCGGCGTAGTGCAGGTCATGGGCAGGCTGCTGTCCTGCAGAGGGGGCGAGGGGGTGGAAAGAAGCACCTGGACAGGCACTGGTGGGCAGAGGAGCGGCTGCCCGGTGCTAGTGGAGAGACTGCCCTGGTATAGACAGCCTCTTCCTGGGAGGGGCCCACTCCCTGTGAGTCTGGGTTTGTTGACTTTGAATAGAATCTGAGAGGACCAGAGATTCCCCAGTGAGCTTCATCTCCATGTCCTTATTTTTTACCTGTTGGGTCTGAGGTTCAGAAACAGCCCCCAACAGTCTGTTATCTGCTAGGACCTCCTGCCGACACCCGGGCTTTGGCATCTCCGGCTTTGGCATCTTGGTTGGCGCAGGAGGATCTTGATTTTCTGGTTGTGTCAGTTGCTGCACTGGCCCCTTCTGCCTGTCCCCTTTGTGACTCAGACTTGTGATGCCCCTGCATGCCTTCCTTCATCACCAGTAGCTACAAGTCTGTGCAAATCCACCCTAAAGAGGGAAACCCCACGCCAGAAAGGGCCAGACAAGAAGTCAAGCTATTGCTAGAAGGCAGACGGAAATCCATCCACAAAGACGTGTGAGGGAGGCTAGAAATAGAAGGCAGAAAAATGAGCTCCGACTTAACAAGGAAAGCTGTTGCTTTTATTCCAGTTTACTGGTTTCTAAAATCAAATTGGAGAATGTATTCTTGAACCAAAGAAGATTCGATGATGCAGATTACCAGGGACTGTCCTATTTCCTTAACAAAAACACATTCAGTTAACAAAAGAAACACACCACTGTGCGGCCAGCTCTGTGTGCGGCTCACATGCTGGTCCTGCTTGGCCCTCTGGCCTCAGGGCTGGCCTCCCCTGTGGGGTGTGGACTGTGGGCTCCTGTGGGGCCCTTGTCTCGTGGTTGCAAAGCGGTGAGCTGGAAGGCACTAGACTAACTGC